CCTCTTTCCAGAGCTATAACTCAAAATTAACGTACACCTTTACCAAAAAAATTGCTCATTTTCGCTAACGGCTGCGTAATTAAACAGTAATTGTCAAGGTTGTCAGGATTTAACTATTAAAATCACATTAATGTCGAGCTAGAAGAGACTGAAGCGGAACTGACGGCCATTAAGCCACGGGAAAAAGTAAAGATGTGGTCATATTTAAGTTTGGGATCAGTAAAATACTCAGCTTACGATACGTTACTGAGCCATCAAGCTCGGGGAGGCCAATAGGCAGGCACGAGAAGATTAATATGTAAATACAATTAGGCTTCGGGCTTTTAGTAGTTATAGAGATTAAGGTTCATCTCTTGCACGCAAACTCGGATGCGTGTGTGTGTGTGTGTGCTCACCTTGTTGTATTCCCCTAGTGCGTGTGTATGTGTGTGTGTGTGTGTGTGTGTGTGTGTGTGTGTGTGTGTGTGTGTGTGTGACTACTGCCCCCCCTCCTGGCCTATAGTTTGGTTAGGCTCTTGGTGATTGATGAGTAGGCTTAGTAAGGGGTCTATAGGTCTGCTGATATATAATTAATGTTTCACCACATTATCAAGGAAATACAAGCATGCATGATTTTGACACGGAGTCACATGTGTATACGTGTAAAAAAAATACGCACATATGGCCAATATCCTCCCAATAGCCTTTATTTAACTAACATTTACTGTCCAATAACCTGGTTCGTGCATAACAAGTTTAACCCTATAACTTTAGTGCAAAGTTCGTAACGATAAGTCAAAAAGTTATTGGCCAGATGTTTATATGTATCTGGTGAGGTTTTTGAAGATTTACGTGCCCCTCTGGGTGGGCCTGGTGGGTTCAGGTGGGTTCAGGTGCCCCTCTGAATGGTTCTGGGGGGTTCAGATGCCATTCTGGAACAGTTCTGGGGAGTTCGGGTGTACTTCTGGGTGATTCTGGTTGGTTCCGGTGCCCTTCTGAATAGTTCAGGGGCCCTTCTATGTGGTTCTTGTAAGTTTTGGTGCACTTGTGGGTGGGTTCTGGTGGTTTCAGGAGGATTTCTAGGTAGGGTTGGTGAATTTCTGGGCAGTTAAGGTACCCTTCTGGGGCACTTATGGGTTGTTCGTATGCTGTTCAGGTACCCTTCTGGGGTAGCTCTAGTAGTTTTAGTGCCATTCTGATGGTTATGGTACGGCTATAGACCTCTCTGGATGGTTATAGCATAGTTAAGTGATCTGCAATGTTCACCCAAGCTATCCTCCTAAAATGATAGTACTTGTAGCACTAAACGTACCGATATGTATCGTTGGAC